TGCTTTGTGCTGGTGCTGTTGGCATTATTCAATGTGCAGGTTGTCCATCCCTCTTTCACGAGGAGTGTCTAGCCAGAAAACCTAATTGTGGCATACAGTTTTCATGCAATCGAGGGAGTATTGTCACTGGGATGCAGAAGAATAGGCAGAGGTTATCCTAAATGACTTTCAAGACCTTGAACGTTATTTACCATACCCGCCAAGTTCGGAAAAACCAAATCCGGGAGAATTTCTAAGCGGGGGGGGGGAAGGTTTTTTAAAAAGAGACATTGGCAACAAATGTAAATGAAGACAACTTCATTATATTTATATTGCACTGCTCATGCTAGCGAAGGACTGCTGCGCCTCGCTATCGTAGCAGCCGTTCGTTACGACGGCAAAAACTACTTTTTTAAGTGCGAGGAGGGAAGGGGGGGAATTTGAGTTTTTTGGGAGATTTTTCTGGCAATTGTACAAATTGGTCAAAATTCGTGAGTCTCCCGGGTAATATGGGTAACTTGGCAGGTATGATTTACCCTTGTTATGTTTATTGTTGTTATTCTTTACCTTTGTTATGTTTCCACCTGCATATTTCTTACTTTTCATTATTAGAGTTTGATATGAAAAAAACTGACTGATATATCTAAAAAGGCATGTGACCCTGTAATTAGTTGCAAATTATTATTACAATTCTGTTCAAACACTCATCGTGGCCAACAATTTCAATAACAATTGTTGTAAAAAAAAAAAAACTTGCTCTCGAGACTAATAGGTGGATAATAACAGCTGTACCCTTTATAATGGGTGGCAGCTTCCACCACCTAGCCTAAAACATTAACAAAAACTAAAAGCATCATCCACTGCCTCCTCCCTCCGGCGAGGGAGTCACCAATTTTCCTCTGGTCAAACCTTGTCAGCGTCAGCTGATTCCTCGCAACACCGCGGTAAATGTTGGGACACAAGTTTAATGAAATAATTTGCAACTGGTTATCAGGTCACACCTTTTCATCTGCAACAGTGTGCCCTTTCCATTTCAAATACCCTCTTTTTTCACTTATATTTAGCATAAGAAAAGTACTATGTACAGCTGCTTATTCCTATGGAGGGCAAGACAAAAACAGCTTAGTAATTTTAATTTTTATGCTTTGGTGTATGCTGCTTTTAATGTCTTTCTTTTCTTTAATTTAGGTCTTTTGGAGCAGCCAGACTGCTAGAGAGTGCATGCTCTCAGGTGGTGGATAGAGAAATGTCTTCTGTTAGGAAGTTGTGAAAACAACTTCCTTCTACAAGATAGGCACTCATGCCCATGGATCAACAAGCTTCTTTTTTCTTTTTTTTTTTTTTTTGTTAATGCTCCTTTTTCTTTTTAACTTGCATTTAGTTCATTTCTTATTTTGTGCTTGTGGTAGGTCTTGTTTTGTTGAAATAAACTTTTTGCATCCATTTCATTCATGCTATTCTTGTTGCAAAAACACCGGCGGCAACATTCGTTCAAGATAATGCTGCAGAACAGGTTACATTGAAGCAAAGCAGATGTGTCAAAGAGACTGATAATTGAAACAGTTAGCATATTAAACTTCACACTTCTTGGAAGGCTCACTGATGCGACTGCTGCGCCAAAGGCCTCAACCTGCTATATGCCGTTAAAATTAACCAAAATACTCTGATGAATTTGTGCCAACACTGCACGAAAAGCTCGACTTTTGCTCGCTATTTGAGAATTACTCGGAGCTTAGTACCTTGCTGGATCATTATGGTAGGATGATGCCTGTTCTCAAAAATACAGACTTGATTGGACTAACACACTATTTGATTTTACCTTTGTATCGAACAGGGACAGTACACTTAAGTTCCCTAATAGTCCTGATTACTTTAAGTTTGTTGAGGTGGCCACACTAGCTTTAGTGAGTGCACTTCTCGATAGGCTTTGGTGCACTCTGGAGAAGACACTCGTAGTGTAAACAGCAGTTTTGTCAGGTTTGCTTCCCTGCAACACACTTTCGTACTAGGAGAAGACTTACCTAATGAGCAGGGTATTAAGAAATTAAACATCTGGGATATGGTACATGTTGATCTGACAATAAAACCTTGCAGCAAAATTGCAAAAATTAACTGCAGCTATTATGTAGGTGTGCATGTGACAGGGCTGGGCAGAGGTACTACAAAAAGTATTTGGGAATACAAATACTGCGATACTTCCTTTTTGAGGCCCAAAATACAGGTACTGAGATAAATTTGCCTTTCATGTAACGGGATATCCCTGAGATACTTCTGCAAAACGGCAAAAAAAGTATTCCGGAATGCAGATACTTATAGAAATACATTTGTTCCCGAATGGTGCCACATGAGGAGGGTATAATTCGTGGTGAATATGAATGTTAATAATGCTTGTGCTCCTCTTTTTGTGCCATTTTAAGCACTACCCCTTTGCTCAAACTCTTTATTTATCATTATGCTGCTAGAAAAACATGTCACCCTCCTTGAACCACTTGGTTATAGAACGGTAAAGACTGCGTATCATGCCTGACAAAACGCGTCTGCCCAAAATGAACATTGTTTTGCCATGAGGGCGCAGAACCAGTGCAGCCGCCGCGTTAGGACTGGCGCTGTGATCGGTTTTCGGAGCGGAAGCACAGGGTGTCGTCTGCATCTGTTAGCTCTTGTTTCACCGCACCATGTTGTATGCTACATGTAATTATTCGCAGTTTGATGAGACCATTCGCATTTTCTTAGTTTTAATGTATAAAAACGAAGTTTTTTCTGTGGATGTTTCCTTACTATAGTCTGCTAAAAAGTTTTATGTATGAAATGTGTTTGTCCAGATTCCTTCACATTTATTTAACAATAGTAAGTTCAGACCAAGTCTCTAGAATTTGGCATTTAGATGATAGATGCGCAGCATCAGGATGATTTCACGTCTGGAGTTACTGGCGGCCGTGCGCAGTCAGGAGCGGTCACTTCGAAGACTAAGGCCTGACGAGAGCGTTTTGGCCAAAACAGTTATCAACCGTCACTTTGGTGTCAAGTTGAAGCATTTATTCTGATTCTCAAGAAAGATTGGCGTGGAACTAGCATGCCAATGCCGATTCTCTGCGTTTTTTCCCAGGCCCACTAGTGGGCGTCCACAAATACCAGCGGACAAATCATGCGGTATTATGCTCAGCTATGGGGCATGCAAGTGCCCTTGTATTAAATCCCAGACCTCTGCAATGTATCGGGATCGTCAGTCTGTATCCAAGAGCTACTCAAGGTGGGGAATATCAAGAGTGTGATACTTTTCCTGTGTCTTTTAAGAAGAATATGAACATAGCACCACATAGCATCAAAAAGAAACAATTTACACGAGTCAATGTTTCAACGCTTACCACAGGGAGCGAAACCTGTGCAAGCAGGTGCAGAAAACGCTTTCAGAATATCATAATTGAGCACATTCCTACCCTAGGTTAGGATCTTGATTCTGTGTCCACCATGGGTGCATTATTTTCATAAGTGAAAGGAAATGTAACCTCCCACTGGGCGTTATTGTTAAACATTGCAGACATTTGAGCAAGAGCTCCGAGAAATGGCACCACAAGCAGAGATGGGCGAGGAGTGTCATCTGCTCTTGTTGTCTGCTTCTGCAAAGACGCTGAACTGACTCTGGAGCTAATGCAAGCTTTTGAGGAACTGGGTCTGAACTCGTTTAGAACTGGGATGAATCGAATGTGCCAGTGTAGCGGCTGTGCAACTTCAGGGTGAATCGAATGCGCCAGTTCCTGCACTGCTGAACTAGTTCAGCCACTTCAGGCGAATCAAACAAACCTCTTACGATGTACACCCTCACTATAATAGTACCTTTAAATGTCAGTAGCAGACTTTCATCAGGCAACCACCGAAACGGCACCTCGTGTCAGATGCTGGGACGACCGGCATGACGCAGAAGAGCGCGAGAACACGCACGCCAGTGAGCACAACAAGAATGTCTAAACCACGCTCTGGAAACAAAAGGTAGCAACCTGTAATTACATGTACCACCCATCTCAATGCATGGCACGCCTGTCAAGAAAGCCGGTTTGGGCACGACGTCACATAGGTAAGAAGTGCAAGACATCCTCTCATCGAGTTTTAAGCTAAGACACTGTGTGAAAAAATTGTCGAACTCTATGCATTTTTCATGAAAGGAATTTCTTGCTTTGAAACTCACAATGGCACATTTAAAATCTTATATTGTGACCTATACAAACGTATTTGATATTACTGGCGCGATACTTTTTCTAAGCATCAGAACTGTCTACTTAAGTAAAGGTGTCAAATGCTGTCCAGCTTCACCTCATTCATTCACGCAAGACAACTAAAGAGCTCGAATTCACTATATCAAAGCAGAAAAAATATGTAACTTCACATGTAAAAAAAAAAAAAAAACGTGTTTTCCCCGTGAATTGCAGTTTGATACTAATCAATGTTGCTGGCCTTGTCAGCAAAAAGCGGCTAAAGTGCTTAGCGAAGAAAAAGAAAAAAAAACTGTGTTGGTATTTGCCCTTACAAGGTGCTTCATTTGCATTGCATGCCCTAGTTAAGTGTCTGAACATTACATGCCCCAGACACTGAAACGATAAATACCTCGTTGCCTGAAAAGCACGTTCTAGCTTCGTTCCGCAATTAGTTTCGCGAATTCGCCAAGCTTAGTAAATTCTAAATAGTTTTTTTCTGCACTTGAATGCTCTAGGGAAAAGGAGGGAATTAGAGTTCGATTTATACAGTTAAATTTTTGTAGGGATTGTTGACTTTGCCAAGTGTTAGCTACAAAATAATGCATTCGTCAAAAAAGCATAACACTTCAAATGAACTATTTCGCGAATTGAAAACAGCAGCCCAGATTCGACACATACGAGCGGTCAAAAATACACGGCATGAGAACGACGCAGCAACCGGCAACGTCACAGGAATTTCATAACAGCAGAGAAAAAAAATTAATTACACCCCTTCGCTCGGTACAACTATGATTTTATTATGTATAAAGCAACACAAGAGTTTCAACTCACCAACGCAGGTTCGATGTAACGTTCAGCCTGCATGGGCCGCTGGGTAAAAGCAAGGAACTTTCGTCTACTAGAGTATAGTTATGACATTTATTCCATTCCTGATGCGCTTATCGATCCTTTCAACGAACCAATTCGAATGTCACCATTGATAATGTTTGCAGAAAAGCCAAAAAAGTAAAATATCTCACACCTCCTGCACCTTGTGCACAGGACTGGTGAGCGCCATGACATAACAGATCCGCAGAAATTGAAACACGTTAGAATGTAAACATAACAAATTTGTTTTGTATTTGCAAAGTTAATAAATCTTGTTTAATTAACAGCATTATGTTTTATTTTATTTTATATTTTTATGGACATGCGGTAAGAAACAAAGAAAAATCATTCCGTGCGGTGGTATCGTGCTCTTCCTATGCGCCTATGCCGCGAAACACAAACAACATGGCGGTAGAGTGATGGCGGCCCGTTGTCTTTTTTGAGGATGTACTGCGTGTACGCCCCACTGCAGAAATACAGTAGGTGCGATTTTCAGACATAAGGATATCTTCAATTGGAATGTTGGTCGTTTTTTCTTTAATTTTTTCTGCGACTTCGACTGCGTAGGGTGAAAAAGGAACGCGTGTTTTATAGGTCATTGACGTCAGGGATCAAAGTACAGAAATTGTTGCATCGCTCCTTTAAAGGGATGATGACCAAGCATTTCAGTGTCTACAATAAGTGGCGCACGATCTTTCCACGAGC